ATTTTATTTTATTTTATTTTATTTTATTTTATTTTATTTGCCTGATAATGTCAATATTGAACAAAGACAGGCAGGAATTCTATCCAGAGTGAGACCTCTTTTTATTTTCATTGCATCTTTTTGTAAACCTTCGGGCTGGCGTGTTGCCAAATATGTTGTATTTGTTATACTTATACGAAAGTTTGTATGGGAAGAAAATACACGATCAATATATTTATTTGAAAACATAAATATATACAATCGTTTGTGCATTTGTTTCCTATCAAAAAGCGTGCGCATACTCAAMACATTCGATAGGTGGATGAAAATACAATTATTTTAAAGCGAGTGTACGAGATTTTGTTGCTTTCTACCTGGCAACCATGAGCAGCAGCAACAAGTAAGCGCAGCGCCGTGATGTTTGTCCCTGCTCGGATGCCATTGCATAGTTTCCTTGATAGTACTTCTACTTTTCGACTGCGCTGCACTGATTTAAATCAAATGACAGTCACAACTCACCGTAACAGATGTGACAGTCACATATAGTTATCCGGGCTTATTCGTAGTTGTCACTTAAAAAAAATCTCCGGAATTTTCTTAAGTTAGTCGCTTTTGCTGGTAAGTGTTGTTAGCAGCGTTAGCTTCTGTAGCTAGCTATAAACATGACGTGATCGGATGCACGACGTAGGAAACTTTTAGTTAATCTGTAGGGACATGGTTTACATCTTTCACAGACGAATCCAGAAAATAAGCATAGCATAAAGATAAAAAAAAAAGAAATAAAAACCCATAAAGTAATGCTCTGTGATTATGTACACATTAACAGGACAGGTTATAAACTGCTTATATTTCCTACAGGAGTTGGAGCCAAATGAGCCAAAGACTAACCAAATCCGGACAGAGGATTACAATTTATTCCTGTCAGGTGATTTATTTAGAGGAAACGACAGAAGAACCTTAATTAAGATGTCTTTAAATGGGACTCTGGTGTTCTGGGGAGAGGAAAAGAGCGTGAAGTGATGGAGAATCAAGAGGAAAGGTAACAAACATTTTAATATCATGATGACCTCTTCCACTGGAAACACGCTGAAGACTGATGCGTGATGACATTTTGTTTCCTCTAACATATTCTGTGCACAGCACTGGAAACAGAAAATAAAAACGGGGATAATAATAAAAGTTCTGCACATTAAAAGTATATATTCTAAATATCTTATGCAGGTATTGATGCATAACAAGTCTTTTGTAGATTCTGTGCGTCTTTCTGTGYTGTTCTTTGCAGATTTGCACTCCTTTGAGATCTGTGTGCACGTTCAGGCCTGCAGACAGAAATGGATTATGAGGAATGTCACCCAACTTGATGCAACTAGTCTCCAAATCATGTTGTCTGTGTTTAATGAACTTATTCTTTTGTTTCCAGGATCAGGATGTGGTGCAGCCGTTAATGCCACGCAGACTGCGGGTTCTGATTTTTTTACTCTAAGCTTTTATAATTTTGTGTGTGTGCAGACCTGCGGACGAGCAGGCCCTCGCAGCTCCGGAGCGAGGACTTCTCCACGTGTGGTGTTCAGCCGGCTGCAGCCCAGAGAGGGTGTTGCTGTCCACGCCTGCTCTCCAGGTCGCTCTCGGAGAACATCACGGCCTCGTGTTGGGACAAGGTGTGTTTGTGTGTTRGAGCTGTCGCAGGATGACTCACATGACAACCCTGAGATTCAGACACTTGAAGAGGTTCTCACAGTAAAACTGTAGAAGAACTGGAATTTAGGGATTAATTTGCAGAGCTGTTAAAAAAAAGTTGCACCTTTTTTTTATTTGGATCTTTTGGCACTCGTAGGTATTCTAGATATTTTAGTATCTGTGCAAAYATACAATTTTATGGCTGTTAAACTGTTATTTTTGGTGTTTTTAAATAAGAAACATATATTTGCATCAAACTAATAACTTTTTTTTGCTAAGTTAAAATACTTCTTTAAAGGCTTTTAGAAAACTGTGAGAACTTTTGTTCAACAGTACTTTAAAAGCCTGCTGGACATATKTTGCACAAAACCGTAATAAACATCCTCTTTAGTAGTATATCCAGGAACAAATAAAGATGAAATGATGTTTTTGTTTTCTTCCAGGAGGTCAGGTGTTTTCCTTCGGAGTCCTTTCATGGAGGGACCAGAGTGTCCCKGTTTCTGCTCCCGTGTTGGAGCGCTCGCTGCGGGGGATGACGATGGTCCGTGTGGCCGCTGGCGGCTTTCACTGCGGAGCCATAAGCGAGCAGGGCAACGTCTACATGTGGGGGGAGAACACAGCAGGACAGTGCGGGGGTCCTGAGAGGGGCTCGGTTACAAATATCACAGGTTTGTCATTTAATTTCATTTTGCTTTTAAATAGTGCAAAGAAATGCTGACTCAGCGTTCRYGCAATGACGYARACGTTTGTCCCGACAGTCCCGGAGCCCAGCTCGGTCAGCGTGGTGGACGCTGAGGCGGTCCCTCCAKCGGTGGTTCGGGTAGTGGACCTCGCCTGTGGACGGGAGCACAGCCTGGCGCTGTCGGCCCAGAACGAGCTGTGGGCCTGGGGGAGCGGCTGCCAGCTCGGCCTGGTGACTCAGACCTTCCCCGTGTGGAAACCTCAGAAAGTAGGTAAACTCAAACGTTAAATGAGTTTTGTGTTTCGTGTTGGTTTTATTTCACCAGACTTGCTTCATTTTCCTGTGTGTGTGTGTGGCAGGTCGAACACTTGGCAGGGAGACACGTGATTCAGGTAAATTCTCCTGCAGTTTTTGAACTGAAAAGATTTATTTGTACTTTTAAAGTTCATGTGACACGCCTGTCCTTCAAATACAAAAAGTCAAAGAAGGCATATTTGTACTTAAGAAAATTGGCATAGTACACATGATTTTACCCATTTTGTCACATAACTTTTAATTTTGGCTCAGCCAAAGTGAAACAGGAAGTGACATCAAAGGGGAACTCTTTAATAAAATAAACTCTCTGGTCTTTGTTTATTAAAATAAAATTATTTCAACTTTAACTCTTCTTCGTCTCTCTTTGATAGTGACTAAAAATAATCTAAAGAAATCAGATTCTTCTACAGTCTGTGTTGTTAGCTTTGTAACAACGCTCTGTTTATATTCAGATATTCCCCTTTGACATCACTTCCTGTTTCTTCACATGCCAATATCTCAACAACCGTTCATYTGAGCAACATGAAATTTGTTTTGCACTATGTTATCAATGTTACCTTTCCAAAAATGCATTCATGTTTATTACAAAAAAATTGATGTCACAGGCACTTTAAGGGTTTCTGGTTGGTTTTCATGTCCAACAGGTGGCGTGTGGTGCATACCACAGCTTGGCTCTGGTTCACGCTCTGCCTTCGCAGGACTGCAACACCTTGAAWACCCCTAAAACGAAGGAGCGAGGTCAGTCGCCTCACTGCCCCGTCATGGACAGGGAGGAGCTGTTTGGACCCGACGATTCTCACTACTGTCCGCTCGGAGTGGAGCTCACTGAAGTCACGAGAAGTGAGGTGAATAATCTTTGYGTGCAAGAAGTTTGTGTTGTAGACACCTGCAGGCCTCAGGGCTTAAAGTGCCTGTGACRTGCCTGTCCTTCAAATACAAAAAGTCAAAGAAAGCATCTTTATGCTTAAGAAAATTGGCATTGTACCCATGATTTTACCCATTTTGTCACATAAATGACTTATTTTCTTTTAAATTTGGTTCAGCCAAAGTGAAACAGGAAGTGACATCAAAGGGGAACTCATTAATAAAATAAACTCGCTGATCTCTGTTTATTAAAACAGAATTATTTCAACTTTAACTCTTCTTTGTCTCTTTGATAGCGACTAAACGTAATCTAAAGAAACATCAGATTCTTCTCTACAGTCTGTGTTGTTAGCTTTTGCAACAACGCTCGGTCTACATGCAGACATTCCCCTTTGACATCACTTCCTGTTTCTTCACATGCCAATATCTCAACAACTGTTCATCTCAGTGACGTGAAATTTGTTTTGCAATATGTTATCAATGTTAACTTTCCAAAAATGCATTCACATTTATTACAAAAAATTGATGTCACAGGCACTTTAAAGATTTCCCACTACCTTCGTGACTCTACACATTTTCGCTCTTATTTTTGTGACATTCTAAATATTATCAGCATTATCTGGCTGGAGTTATTATGTCGAATTAATCCGCGGAATCTCCAGGTCTGATTTTTGGAGTTCTCTGCAGCGTGTTGACGTTCTGCTTTGATTTGCATTCCAGACGTCTCCCAGAAGACGAGCCCCCAGACGAAGGCGCCATCCAGGGGGAATGTCGTCTGGCAGCAGCCCGGGCTCCGGAGCCAGTTCCTCCTCCTTTTCTGAGGACGGCACATTTAACTCTAAACAGTACAGTATTTCATAAATACTCCTTTAAATGCTCCTTTTTTTTGTCTTACTGTTAAAAAAAACTTACTTTTTAAATTTCTCTTAAGCTTTTCTTTCATATAAAACTGCAGGAATCTTCCGGTCAGCACCAGGCTGGAGCTTGAGGAGCACACAGACTCTGAATCGCTGACCGGTGGCAGCCCCAAAGCCCACCTGGCGTCGGGCTGGAGGACCAACAAGAGCTTCCCGGACGAGTCGGAGGTTCAGAAACTTCTTGAGAAGCTTTCGTTTGAGTCACAGCAAACTTCTGGGTCGTTAGATAGTGACTCAGTGAGCAGCCACAATTCAGGTCGGTGACATTTTTTTCTTTTTCCCACAAATTATTTATATAATTATTTATCCCAATTTATACCGTTTATTACATGAATGCTCACACAGCTCACACTGCATACTCTTTATTTACTAAATGTGGTCCTGGAGGGCCACCACCCACATGTTTTAGTGGTTTTCCTGCTCTTCAGGCGTTCTGCAATCGCTAATTAATTCAAAGCAAAGACACTGTCGAGGATCAGGTTTGAGCATCACCGCCATAGAAAAACAAGTGTTCTTCAAATTAACATCTGTCCTTATCTCTCCTCTCCTAATCCAGACGACAGCTGCGTTTCCTCAACTCCCTCTTTGGATCTGTTAACATCCAGTTACAAAGATGACTCCACTTCYAAGAGACAAAGCAACAAGTAAGACGAGGTTTGGTTCAAAGTTCAGGCACTTGGTTGATGTTTAAGAAAATAAAACTATATATTAAGTTGGGAAATTGCAGTTCAACACTTTTAAAGTAATAATTTTTTGGATTTTACTTTATATTCACACAAGTCTCTTATAGTGTTTAAATCAGAAAGGCAGCACTGATTCACAGAGGCTTCGACATCCGTGCTCGGGTGATTAATCAGATGCTCTGGTCTGCAGCGGCTCGAGCTCGTTTCCGCCRCTGTGTTTGGATGAGGTTCGTCTTTGTCTGGAGAAGGAGAGGCGGGCGCTGCAGGGGCAGAAGAGCTCCAGTCTCACAAATATCCACCAGAAGTGGAAAACTGCAGCCGGCAGGAGACGCTCACTTCCTGGAACCCCAACCCACGGTAGGAACGGACGGGTGTGAACAGCTGAACAGTTCATTGCCTATTTTCTTTCCTCACAGTTACAGTAGATGAAACGGTTGATAAGCCAAGCCAGGAAACTGTTGGTTTTGTGCGGGTGGTAGGGATGTCTTTGAACTTTTTCCAGGATATAATTAGGATTTTTATCACTAGTTCTGTCCTRTTTCCATGTTTACCAAAAGGCTCATCAAAAGTTGTGCAAACAAACTTTTCTCATAATATTCAGTATTATAGGCAACGCAGGGGTAAAGTTAAGTTCAGTTATAACCTGAAGAGAAATCAGATGTAAAGACTGAGCGGAGAGTAAAACCCAGTATTCCAGGGCTATTCAACTGGCGGCCCGCGGGCCACATCCGGCCCACGAGTGACCAAAGTTTGGCCTGCCAATTGGTTCACTCATCTCTTAAGCCCAAACTCCCGGTTTTCTACTTTATTTACTCTAAGTTATTTTAGTTAAACATAGACATGTTTGGTGTCTACAAAAATGTCAGAATCTTGGCTAGAAGCTGGTAAAAACCATTTCTATGAACATCCAAGACAGTTAAAACTACAAGCAGTTGAAGATAAAATGATGAAAGTGAAAAAAAATTTGATTTAAAAATTTGACAAATCGGAGATGTCAAAATATTTTGTGGTAAATAAGAGGCATAATATGTTTCTTTTTTGTTTTTTCATCACTACATTTATTACATAGGGTTCTGTATGTTTTCGTGATTAAATACAGCGAAATAAACTAATTCAAAGGTAACAGATCTTTGTAATACTTAGTTTATTTACATAACTTTAATTGCTGGATGTTCGGCCCCTGAGCTGTTGGTCTGCATTAACTGTGGCCCCCGGAGCAGTTTAGTTGAATAGCCCTGCAGTAGTCCAAGGTTTTCAGATCTAGATTTAGATATCGTTGTTTGTTTGTTTCAGGGTCTCCTCGGAGACGCTTTCCGTGTGTCTGCAGGCCGTTCTCAGCAGGTCAGACTCAGGTCGCAGGACCAGAGGAGGCCGGAGACGGGCTGCCGTCTCTGGAGAMTGAAGTCTGGAGCTGGGGCCGGGGTTCTGAGGGCCAGCTGGGTCACGGGGATCAGCTCGCCAGGTCTGTGTGTGCACACATCTAAACRTGATTATAACCCTTTTATCTACGTGCATCATCTTGTTATGATTGTTTAAAACACAGTAATATAAGCTGAAATGTTGATGTTTGGGTCTAGACTTCAGCCGCTGTGCATCAAGTCTCTGACGGGCCAGGAAGTGATCAAAGTTTCTGCAGGGTCACATCATTCGCTGGCTCTCACTGCTCAGTGTCAGGTAACAGCTTCACCTGGACACGACACGCTGCAGTGGATTAACACACAAATRGTCTTACATAAACATCAGAGGTTAATTAAATCAAAAAGTCAAACTAGTGTTTTTAAACACAGGTGCGTTAACACACCTGTTTGTACTCTGCAGGTGTACTCCTGGGGCAGTAACATGTGTGGACAGCTGGGTCACGTCAACAGTCCCGTCACTGTGCCGCAGCAGGCGAAGGTTCGCYGCTTGTGATTTACTTATTTTTATAAGATGCAAATGAAAGAATAGAGAAAAGCWTTTCTATTTGTTTGTTTGTGTTTCCCTGGTTTGTTGCCCAGCAGTCTGACGATCTTCGTGTTTGGGATCTGTCGGCCGGTCAGAGCCACTCCCTGCTCCTGGCCGACGGCGACTGCGTCCAGCCGCTGCTGCTGTACTGCGGCCAGCGGCGACGGTCGCAGCCGAGCCGCAGCTCGTGCCAGAGCTCGCCGACCAGGGCGGAAAGTTACACAGTCAGACCCTCCCTGCTGCCGTTCTGCATCGAGGTTTGTGGGTCAGAAACACAAATCCGCCCTGAGGGAAACCGGGTGGAGCACTTTTCCATCCGAGTCTTTTTTTTTTTTTTTCAACTTATACGTCACCTGTTGCTCAAAATGCATGACCGAATCATWTGTGGTTTTGTGTGTGTGTGTTTTGTGTAGCTGGGTTACACGAGCAGCGTGTGCAGCGGCGGTCAGATGTCTGCAGCGTTGAYGGACCTGAACGTGAAGGGTTTTATTGCAGCCGTTCACGAGCTGGCCTCCGGAGAGCGGCRGTTTTACTGCTGGCTCAGCAGTTTCAGGAGGATTCTCCTCACGCCGCTGCGTAAAAAAGGTGCCTGTCCGAATTTAACCRACGACGCAAAAGAAACGCACGAGTTGAGCCCGTATGTGTGTGTGTGCAGAGCGCGTTTGTCTGGCGTTAGGGGAGCCGTGCAGCCAGCTCTTCTTCTCTCTGTGTGAGAGTTTTGGCTCGCTGAGTTCTCTGGTGGGTCGTCACGCCGCGTCGCTCAGCTACTTCCTGCACGACGCGCAGGGACGCAAYGTCACTTCTCTTCCTTTGCTGACGCACACCGATTATTTCCAGGACACATATCGAAGGTACGCTTTTTGACCTTTCCAGTGTGTATCTATTTCTTTTCTAAAACTTTTAACTTKCCATCAGTTAGCAGTTAGGTTTGCTTTATTTAACTGCAGCTGGTTTGTGAAAAAAAATAAAACATAAAAAGCTGTAGCTATGTTTACCATGACGAGCAGAAGTACTGACGTGTTGTAAACAATCCCTAAAAAAGGCAAACAGAAGAAGAAGAAGTTCTACTTTTTTGAAGAACATAAACATTCTGTGTCTTCTGAGCACCCAGAATGGACCGGCGCCAGGTTTTAATAAYGGTGGAGATGTTTCTACACTTTCTTCCATCAAAGCGTTTAAAGTTTTTAACAGAAATGTATTTTTAACCAAAAATTTTGCTTCCCTGCATCTAGCAAAGTGGAAATCCATCAGGTTGACATTAGGGTTGGGCAGTATTGGCAAAAATGTTTATCATTATTAATTGTAGTATTTAGCCAATAAGGATTAATATAATGATTAATCCCCTGGAGTCCTTGGACGCCTGCATGTCCTAGTCACATGACCAATTTAAATCAGTCTAGTGGGAAAGATTTGCTTTCCGTAAAAATCTGTTCTAAATTATGTCAAAAGTACAGACTTCAGGCTTTACATAATTTTTTAAAGGGATCTCTGATTAGTTGTAACATTAGACTTTATTTGATAAACATATATTTTAACTGTAAAATACTGTAGGCTCTTTAGTTTTGTAAATTTTAAAAATATATTTTAACACAGACGGAGCCATTTTATTTACACACAAAGCATTCTAGGTCAGGGGTTCTCAAGCGTTTTGGATATAGGGACCCCTTACAAGGGTGAAAACTTTCCAGGGTCCCCTTTATAAACCCCATGCTATTTTAAAAATAGTTTACTATCATTTTACCTCCTAAATACCATGGGAATATTGTCTTTTGTTTAGTTTAGTATGTTTGTTTTACTAGTCTATTATGCCCCATATGCATTTTTTTTAAATAAAAATCACATGAACAATTTATTGAAAAATTTTGAGGACCCCCAAGATACAGCTTGCGGACCCCTGGGGGTCCTGGAACCCCAGTTTGAGAACCTCTGTTCTAGGTAAATGCTGACGTGGAAAGGTTCTCGGTGTGAGCGAGCTATATCCACCCTGAAGGTTAATCTTGGACAATATCTGACAATTGGCTCTTTTAAATGAAACCAGAGAGCGTTGACAGAGAGGAGAAGGTAGAAATGACTCAGCCTGGAACTGAAAATATGGATGGAGGACAACAGAGCTGCTTCATGGAAGAAGAACCTCAGCTTAGCCTGTTAGCCTTTGCGCTAGTGCTGACACTATATTGCCTTATATGTATTAGCTCGGCGCTAGCACAACAAATAAGATAAACTGAGGTCCTCCATCCTTATTTTCAGTTGTAGTCTGAGTCATTTTTGCGTTCCCCTCTCTGTCATGTGGATGGAGGACCTCAGTGATGAGAGGAGAATGTGTAACGCTAAGCTAATACATGTATGTGGGGATAGCATCGGGGCTAACGCTAAAGCTAACAGGCTAAGCTGAGGTTCTTCTTCCATGAAGCAGCTCTGTTGTCCTCCATCTATATTTTCAGTTACAGGCTGTCATTTCTACCTTCTCCTCTCTGTCACCACTCTGGTTTCATTTAAAAGAGTCGATCATCAGATACTGTCCAAGATTAACCTTCAGGGTGGATATAGCTCGCTAGCAGCCTCGCACCGAGGACCTATCCACGTCATCATTTACCCAGAATGCTTTGCGTGTAAATAAAATGGCCCCATCCGTGAAATATATTTTTTTAAAAATGATAAAAACTGAACATCCTACAGTATTTTTACAATCTTTATTTCACAGTTAAAATATTTGTTTATTAAATAAAGTCTAATGTTACAACTAATCGTGGATCCCTTTAAATTGTGTTRATAGACCAATCCTAGTTGATAGAGCGCACAGTCAGGTCAGTTTCCCACAACCAGATTAACATGATCATGTGAACATAGCTTGTGTCTCCCTGTAGGTATTGTTCTGCAGTTGGTGACTTCCAAGTGATGGGTGGATTCCAGTCGCTTCATAAACTCTCACTGTGAGCACTTTCATTTTAAATACATTCTTTTTCTTACTCACCCACAGAGAAACGGGTCTACAGTTAGTGGTAGCAGTAGTAGTGTCCTSTAAGAGACACACTCAGGTGATGTTTGAAATCTAAAGAGTGTCACCTCTGTGTYGCTCCTCAGGGACAGTCTGGGCGTTCAGCAGACTCTGCTCTCCCAGCTGAATGTGTCGGACTCGTCTGTCAGCGGGGACCTGGATCTGGTTTCAATGTTCTACTGGCCCCTGCAGCAGCTCCACCAGTACAACCGAGTGCTGCTCAAACTGACCGCCTGCTACGACGTGGTGAAAACTTCTCCCAGTGTTTCAGTAACGTTGGTTTTCTTCGTTATTAATGCTAAATGCTCTTCACCTTCCTCCTTCAGCTGACTGTGGAGTATCAGTCCCTCCATCAGGGCTTCAGTCAGTACGAAACACTGTCTCTGAGTCTGCTGAGGAAAAAGAGGGAAGCTGAGCTCACCTTCACGTTCTGGAAGAGYCACTCTGGAAGAAACACCGTAAGAACGATTCCATTTTTTAAAAAATTCATCTGAAACCGTGGTTTCTTCCTTATTTATGTTTTCTTTTTTTGGTTAAATTTTTCAGGAAACTTTGCGGGTTCCACAGCGCCGTGTGGTGTGTGAAAGCAGCAACCGATCTCTGACCCTTCAGAACGCCGGGCGGTTCTCCAACCACTGCTTCATTCTGTTCAGTGATGTCCTGGTGCACACACAGGTACACACAGCAGGACGCACAATGAATGCACAACCAACTTCACAGTAGAATAATCTAGAATTTGAAGCAGATTTTCAAATAATTTAGCCATCTTACAGCATCTAAATTACAGGTTTAAGTTCTCGTGGTGGATTTAGTTGCTTTAACCTCTTAAGCCCCAAGGGGTTTCCTTGAAGTTTTTTTCTCGAAATCCCATGTTGAAATATAACTTGAGTGTATCTCAGCATTTACAAACTCTATTTAAATAATCTTGGTATCAAAATAAAGCTAACACTTGGGAGATTTTATTAGAAGTGTAAGTATTAAAACAGCCACTGTGGTTTTAGAGATATTGAGGATGGAACATGATTTTTTTTTACATTTTTTCCCTCCCATCTGAATAATTTTTGCATTAGACAGTATATAACCCATTTAAAACCATAATGAATCAGGCTAAAAACTCTTGGAAACCATAAATCCGCTTGTGGACATTACATGTGCAAAGATTCATGCCCCTTAAATTAACTGGAGCAAAGTTACAGAGGTTTTAGTAAAGAAATAATAACTCATTCTGCACAGGACAGACCATGATGGTCCCATTAATAAACGTTAAGAAATCTGAAGTTTTTAACTGCAGAAGTTATTTAATTTTTTCTTACCTGACTGAAAATACTTGTTACTGAATGTTTGTTCTTTTGAAAAAATATCCAAACATGTATTTGTCACCATATATATTATATGAAATAATGAGAAATTATATTTGACTTCAGTTGGATTATATTCACTCTAAATCAAGTATAAAAAAAACTTTCAACACAGTTGACAACATATTTTGGCATCTGCTTTGACTTATTTTAAAAACAAATGTCAATTTTTTTCCCTTTACAGATTTATTGTAATATATTTACAGATTTATTGTAATGTATTTAAAGATTTATTGTAATATATTTATAGATTTGTTGTAATGTATTTACAGATTTATCGTAATATATTATATGAAATAATGAGAAATTATATTTGACTTCAGTTGGATTATATTCACTCTAAATCAAGTATAAAAAAAACTTTCAATACAGTTGACAACATATTTTGGCATCTGCTTTGACTTATTTTAAAAAAAATGTCAATTTTTTTCCTTTTACAGATTTACTGTAATATATTTACAGATTTATTGTAATATATGTACAGATTTGTTGTAATATATTTACAGATTTGCAACAATCTGATTTTGTACAGTTAGTTTACTTTCTGCTTCAAGTGCTTAACGTTTGAACTGTTTGGTGGATGTAAATATAGTTTCCATGAGTTTTTAGCCAAGATTTTTAGCTTTCTATTGATACCAAACAGGTTCAACTGACAGATCTTAAGTTGAAAGAAGTTAAATTATATAAAAAACGGGAAATGCATGGGGCTCAACATTCTCATTATTTTAATACCACATGACTTCCTGTTAGCAGTTTTGTTTCTACGCTCTTATTTCGTGTCGTTTATAAGGCGAACACTGTGGAAAGTTTAGCCAGTCACCACAAGATTCAGAAAATCCGAATAAGAAAGCCTTAGGAAGTGGGTTTCTTTAGAATTTGTGGAAACTCATCAGATTTATCTCGTGTAACTCTTTCACAAGCACACATTTTACAGTAAAACATGAAATCCTGCTTTTAGTTTTATTTGCTACTTCCCTAAAACGACAAAAAAAGAGGTCATTTCAGACGATAACTGAAGCAAACCTAATGGTCGTCTGTTCCTCAAAAGCAGCGTGAAGTAACCTTAGAATGAGGGATGTTTCCTAACCTGAGAATTTCAGACAGAAGGTAACATCGCTCCTTTCTGTTCTTCCACAGTTCTCCACACATCGTGTTTATCCTCTGACCTGTCTGTGGGTGAAACCAGTTACAGACGACAGCAGTGGGCTGTGAGTTSTAATCTCTAARATCTAACATTATTGTGCTTSATTATGTGATTAAAATGTGRCATAGCTGCTCGTTGCAGCACACARAAGCAAGGATCAGAGCAAACAATAAACCAAAAAGTCATGTGGTTGTTTTACATTTAACCTCTTCGTGTAAAAGTTAATTGTTGGTTAATTTTCAGCTACGCCATAAAAATAACTTGTCCAGAGGAGAATTTTACCCTGGTGGCCTCAACTCCTCAGGAAAAGGTGTGTTTATTCACTCGTGTCACTCTTTTTCAACCCTCTTATCCTTCCTTTAATTTTACTCTCTGGTTTTTTTCAGAACAAGTGGCTTCGATGCATCAACCAGGCGGTGGATCAGGTGCTGGGCGGTGCAGGTCAGGGGTCATCCCCGGGTGCCACGGCCATGTCGCGCACGGCCACTTACATGTTCACCGCAGACGAGCGGTTCAGGGACGCTCAGTACTCCGGAGGCTGGCTGGCRGGGCGGGTTCACGGCAGGTCAGGGGGAGCGTGGGTTATTTTTGTTTTCTGTGCAAAAAACTGTCAGAGTGGAAACACATGGGCTGAATGAGAAAATGATGCACAGAGGTTGGAACATGTACAGATTATTAAAACACTGCTGAAGCTGCTGTCACTTGGTACTAAAATGATTATTATTTTGTCAGAGGAACCATGAAGTGGCCTGATGGACGCGTGTACAAGGGAAACTTTAAGAATGGACTGGAAGATGGGTCTGTGTATCTTCGTGTTCATCTTAAATATAAAACAGCATAAATCTTTGCAACAATTGAGTTTTTGTCGTTCAGGTTCAGTTCTGCAGCTTTGAAAAGCAACAGTAACCATCACTCTTCTGTGTGTTTTTTATGTTTATTTTCTCTCCAGTTATGGAGAGTGTGTGATGCCTCGCAAAGTCCAGGACAAACCAGACGCCTACCAGGGCCAGTGGAGRGACGGCAAGATCCACGGTTTTGGCAAATACATGTCAGTGTTCTGTTTTATGCTGGTTGTTAAATAAATGACGAAAAGTTACAGTTATTACAGCAGATTTACGTATATTTAAAGGGATCCACGATTAGTTGTAACATTAAACTTTATTTGATAAACATATATTTTAACTGTAAAATAAAGACTGTAAAAATACCGCAGGCTGTTCAGGTTTGTGAATTTTTTAAAATATTTTAACACGGACTGAGCCATTTTATTAACATGCAAAGCATTCTGCAACTGCAACTGAAAATGTGGATGGAGGACAACAGTTTAGCTTGTTGTTGAGCTAATACATATATAAGGCAATATAGTGTTGGCGCTAAAGCTAACAGGCTAAGCTGAGGTTCTTCTTCCATGAAGCAGCTCTGTTGTCCTCCATCCATATTTTCAGTTGTAGACTGAATCATTTCTATCTTCTCCTCTCTGTCAACGCTCTCTGGTTTCATTTAATCTTCAGATATTGTCCAAGATTAACCTTCAGGGTGGATATAGCTCACTAGCAGCCTCGCACCGATGACCTATCCAC